ACTATGCTTGTGCTCCGATTCTCCGCTCTTCGAATGGATAACCCATGACGTATTCCTGAAACATTTTGCTTTACAGAATGTGCGATGCACATATACCAATATTGAAGGGTAGTCATTGGTGATTTTCCATTGATCTCCTGACTTTACCTGCGATGGTTCTTCTAAGTTTCGAGAAAAACAGTCTCGGAAAATTGCTATTTGCAAAGTGTAATTTCTTCCTACGGCAGTAATAGCTGGATCTCTATGGGAGCAAATGACATGTGCTGCATTTGTGTAATTTAAGGAAAAGAACAGCTGAAAAAAAGTTATCACATGGAGCTATTGCACGTATTGGCGTGGGATTAGAAATAACAGGTTTATTTAGAGAAAGCTAGATCTGTGAGTTCACAAAAAAAACCATCGTAATTTATTTTACAAAAAAATTTCAGCAAGAAATGCTTTTTTGATGAGTTGGGAAAGGTTTTAAAAAAGGTAATTGACGACTGATTGAATGAATGAAAGGAGGAACGAACAACTAAAGACAAATGTTGGGGACGTTGAAATACTTGAAATGAATGAATTGAACTGTTGACTGCAGACGATCAAATGAGTGAATGAAATGAATGAATGCATGTGTGAGTGATTGAATGGATGAATGAATTAGTAAAGGACTGAATGAATGAATAGATGTGAATAAATCAATGAGTGAATAAGTGAAAGAATGGGTAGTATGAGAGACTAGGTGGATGATTACGATAAACGATTCTTTCAATCAAATTTCTGCAAATTTGCGTGGTTTCTAGGTTTCTAATGGCAAATCACAGCAGGGTTATACGTCCATCGCACCGGAACTGTCACCACCGCTAGGAGTTGACCATGCCACTCAACCTTTACTGGGAAGGCCAGCCCCACAGGTAAAGTAAACTGTTAAAGGTTCTAACTTCCTATGGACCATTTTTCTGTTAATCCCCTGGAATCACTTTGACTTTTTTCAGATGAACGGAAATGGCTACCAATCAATGAAAGGAGCCATAATAACTAATGGAAATGGGATGAATGGACATGCAAAAAACGGTGTAGGTGGAGGAGGTAAAAAAGATTTTAAAGAGTGGTATGTCTAGGTAACAAACATATGGCCAAATGTCACTTCATACCATATTATTTGCTCTGTTTGCATCTTTCATTGATTTTTTCATCTGTTTCTTAGCGTATCTAACATTAAGCAATCCTTCTTGAAATTCTAGCCAATTTCTGTTAATCGAAGGGATGGGGATTACATTCCCTAAACATGTTTGCAAAGCTTTAATGTGTACAGAGATTGTTTTTTTTT